CAGCTCCAGAGAGATAAAGAGGAACTGGGCGGGTTATCACACTCAGGTCCAAAAGCACAGACCTTCCCTGACCTCTGAGCACGCAGCTGGCCCTGCCCACCTTCATGTTTGCTGTTGATAACATTCCACCCTCCCTCACCCTCTATCTTTTGGGCAGATGCCAAGATCTAGACCCTAACGTGGCCTTTCAGTGTTTCCCAAGCTGCGGGATCTGGTGTGCTAATAAGAACACTGGAGCTTTGTCAGATTACATCTTTTCTCCACCTCCTGCCATGCTGAGAAACTACTGGAGTCTACACGTTCCTGGTTCCTGTGCTCCAATACATAAGCTCAGAATCAGCCTTCTGTCCTACAGTTCTCAGAACCCCATGTCCTTCTGGTACAGGAGAGCGGTCTGTAGAGTGCTTCAGTGCTGCCTTCACCAAGGCTTGAGGGCGAGAGTGATATTACAGTGGTGTCTCTGGAAGAGTAACCCCATCACAATGGGAACGAAAGATTGGAAAGAGAGATTGGAGGTGGCAGTTATTCAATCTACGAACACCCTGTATGTCCCAAGAACTGGACCAGGCTCTGAGAATACAGCGTGGAACAGAAGTAACAGCCTGGGCAGACCTCAGTGAGATTGGGCTATACAGGAAGCTTGCTGGTAATTTCGTTTCTATCCACGCAGCAACCTCAAGAGCTGCCATCCCCTAACATCTGTGGGACACACACCACACGTCTGAGTGTTCAGATGTTACAAAGCTGCTGACAAGTCTGCTAAATATGTTCCAACCTCCTACTTTGACAAATGACCTGAAAGGCCAGGTTTGAATTTAGAATTTTCAGATTCATCAACATCCTGTCCCAGGTGGCAGTGGCACCAGGACAATCAGCCCCCACCCCAGCCCCACCCTACACTGTGGAGCCCAAGCGCACCCGTGTGGGCAGCACCCTGGACTCCCCGGCCTGCTCATCCAGGTTGTCCTCCCTGAAGACTACCAGCCCTCGGCCACCCTTTTGGCCCTGATGTGCATGCACCTGCAGCCTAGGGGACCCCTGGGAGGACTGACTGGGGAGACCCATGCAAACACTTAGGCAGGCTTGGCCCACGTGTGTGGGTGCCAGGGGGACACAGGCTCCTCAGTCCACAGGGAGGGGGACATGGCCAGGGGGCTAGATAGGGCCCTCTAAGTGGGTAGGGACCCCTCTTGTTGAGGTCTAGGAAATACTGCTCATGAATTATGCAAACAAGAAATAAGATTCCAAAAGGGTAACTTTCTAGAAGTTATACAACTAGTAAGCAGTCGAACCACGTTTCTGACAGTGCTAAGACTCCCACGTCTTCCTTTCTGCCCAGGCATGACGACTTCATCCTTTAGTACAACAGATGTCTTCCTGAAAGAGTGGGCATTTTTCATTTTATCCCTGCTTTATAGTATCAAAGATGTGTTGCCTTTATTTAAAAACAATATTTTCAGATTTAGTGTTTCCGACTTAACAGTCAGGAAGCGAGGATCTTCAAAAAAGTCAAAGACGTCTAAGCATGGAAAATATTAAACACAATTCACAATTTAGTTCCAACTCAAATCCTTGAACGTGTCCTGTGAGCCAGGCCATGTGCTGAAGCCTTTCACAATCAAAATCCAAACAAAAAGCAACTTTCAATATTTTGAAAGAAAACAGGCAGCCTAATGTTAAAATGAAGCACGTAGCCCATAATCTCACTCAATATACACTATCAATGTTTTAAAATTATTTGATTTCATATTGTGGCCAAACCATGAGAAAGGAAGTAAGGACAGGTGTGCAGGGAACGAGCAGAGAAAGGGACCAGGAGGGAAAACCAGCGCCCCCCACGCTTCCTGCTTAAGTTGCCCCTTACAGGAATTTTGAAAAATTCAGTTGCTCTTGAAAATCTTTCATCATGATTTAAAATATTTACAAAGGGCATGATTCTGACATAATTAAATATTGACATTTTAAAATAAAGCTGAAATATCATTCTTTTAAGTATATTTAATGCAGTTTAAATCTCAGTGCAATTTGCTGTCATGACCCTTCGATAAAAAATGGTTCAGCTCTTAGCAGACAGAACTTTTACATTGTTCCTTTTTCTCCCTGACCTCATATTTCCATCTCTCCCCAGAATTTTATCCTAATGAAAAATAGTTGTGTAAGTCTTTTGTCACCCTATCACACTCTCTACCATAGAAACATGTCCATACCAGTGAAATAAAAATTTTGATTTTCTGCAGACTCATATCACAAAACTAACTCATACTTTATCTGACTCTGGTCTCCCAGGACACGTCCCCGGGAGGGAGGCATTCCTTGAAGACATGTGGTGAAAAAGATACCATCATTCCTGCTGCCGTCTATCTCATCTGAACTCAAACCACCCCCCAAAAGGCCAAACCAACCTTTCCTACTCTATGATTCTCCGTCAACAGAGTACATGTCAGTAGAGGAAAGAAAAGCCCAAATCCCTTGAGGTTACAGTACCTTGCTTGAAAAAGTGTCTCAAAGATTCACAGACTCGTGTTTTCAATGTATCATGTTTGAGAGAGGTTTTCACACCCTGGGGCGATGCACAAAATTCAGGATGGATGAGGAATAAGGCCTTTGGCATGGATGGAGTATCACCCTAAAATTCCTATGTGGAAACCCTATCCCCTAATGTGAGGGTAGGAGGCGGGGTCTTTGGGAGGTAATTAGAGGATGTCAGGAGGGTGGACCCCTTATGAACAAAATTAGTGTCCTTTTAAGAGTCCTGAGAGCACTTGTTTCCTTTCTCCACCACGTGAAGACATGAGAAGAGGGCCCTCACCAGACAACAAAATCTGTTGGCATCTTATCTTAGACTTTTAGCCTCAAGCACCATGAGAAATAAATATTTAAGCTGTCCAGTCTACGGTATCCTGTCATAGCAGCTAAGGTGGCTTCTTTCCTGAAAAGTAGAAGAGGAGGAACTGAGTTTAAAGGGAAGTAAAGGAAGGAGCCAAGCAGAGAAACCTCAGGAAAGAACATGCTATGGGTTGACTTGTGTCCCCCAAAAAGACGCACTGAAGTCCCAACCCCAGCACCTCAGAACGTGACTTTATTTGGAAACAGGGACATGAAGATGTAATTAGTTAAGACAAGGTCAGACTGGAGGAGGGTGGACCCCTAATCCAACATGACTGGTGTCCTTATGAGATGACAGAGACGACAAGCAGAGCCTGCAGCGAGGCAGCTACAGGCCAAGTGCTGTCAGGGACGGACGGCTGGCAGCTGCAAGAGGCGGCAAAGGATTCTGCTGAGTCCCAGAGGCAGCATTGCCTTGCTGAAACCTTAATTTTGGACTTCTGCTCTCTAAACTGTGAGAACAAATTTCTGTTGTTTTAAGCCACCCAGTTTGTGGTACTTTGTCACCGCAGCCCTAGGAAACATACAGTTCCACACAGACGCTGAGGATCTGAAATCGATTCCTTTGACTCCATCTGTGTCTGCACGCCCCTTGGAAAGGTTCTCTCACACCCTTTGTGAGAGAATCAGTTTCCAGAGCTTCCACTGGATGTTGCCTAAACACTTCCTGATGCCTACTGCAGCTAGAGCAGTAATCATGGGCTCACACACGGAGTGAGCAGGGACAGGGGACTGGGTGCCAGGAGCCTCCGGCGACTCCCTGCACTCTAAGAGCCAGTAGGTAAGAGGAATGACAGCTTCATGAAATCCTTCACCGCTCTCATGGAAAACAGTAAAAAGTGTCAAATATCTTACTTGAGATTCTAGCTGCACAAGTTAAAAATATCATATAAACTATTTCTTTCTCCTCTATCCCATATGTTGTTCCACAGAGAGCCAGGGCGGCCAACTGAGTCAGTAATTAAAATGCCACGGTTCAACTGTTTGTTATGGTTCTTAACATAGAACCTTCTTAATTAGATACAAATTAATAACTTCAATACTGTTTAGGATAGGATACACCCAGTTCAATGCAATTCATATCCAATTTAGGAGCAAAATTTTAAAAGGTATTAAAATTTGAAACTTGACAGCTAAAAATATCAACCTAGAAAAATGAAATATTTACACAGGTCCCTTAAGTGTTGTTATTTATTCTGAAATACAAATCAGCTCAACTTTCAGTGACAAAAATGGGCAAAGGGTGACACATGCCATTGATTATAAAAATCTGTCCTCCGTAAGAATAAAATTCCTTCCCAATGTGTTATTTCTGAAGAACTCCCTTGCTCGTCGGCCAGCTCACATGGCAGTGGAAACAGTCACACTAATGATAGTTACCGACGGTCTAACACATTCGCCCGTCAAGTTTCAACATTGAAAAGGAACAAAGCACGAATCATGACGATGCAGAAGGCAGAGAGCAGCAGGTACGAAATAAGATGACCACGTCAATCCACAAGCGTTCCAGTGAGGAAACGGACAGAAGCCCTGGCGGTTCACCACTAGCAGCTAAATTTCTTCAAAAATCACATCCCAAATGTCCCCCAATCTCCTTCAAATCTGTTTTTACAAACTAGGGAATCAGCGTCTCCTTAGACGAGTACATAAACAATTTTCCCCTCTGAGGAATTCTTAAATTCTTCAGAAGCTATAAACTGAGCGCCTCTTTGGAATAAGAAAATGGACAGTTGCAACATCCTCTCACAGTTTGCGGGTTTTGTTTATATTGCTGGTGTTTTTCAGTGAGGGAAGATACGAAGTCTCGTAGATCTTGCAGGCTACTTTCTCTTTTTGTCATCTATTCCAAGTAGAATAACTATTAGAAATCCTTAGGCTATCATTCCTGGGCCTTTCTTGATTTCCCTGAAAAAAGCAGCTACACTGGGAACATGCAACACTTGGTATTCGATTAGACAAGCGGCAGCACGAGGAGACATTCAAGGTGGTTCCCTCACCTCAAGTTATCCAGACTCCTTGGATCTGAATGAATAACACGTTAAATAATTCTCCTAAATAATCAGAGATTCTAAACATTGAAGACAATTGTATACCAAATACACAGGCAAACATGGTGGCCTATTTTAGAATCCAGATATATTTTTCAAAGATCATGCTTATAAGTAAATTACATAGTAGAGAAACATCAAAATAAAGTTGATGGATAAAAAGGCACACTTGAGAAGTTCACGTGGAAAGAATAGGACAGTTCTTTTTGTTTTGTTTCTAATGCGGGAGGAAAGGTTAACAGACATATTAAAATTATTTTTTCAGGTGAAGGTTTCTGTCAGTTGAAGCAATTAACATTGGCTTTTCTTCTTGTACAACGCAATCTTTCCTTGTGTTGGCTTCTCAGCAGGTATTCAGTCTTCTGCCATGTACAAGCGATACATCAGGGCTACGGCCAGTGCTGAGATGGCAGGGATCACCCAGTTGGTCCACCAACTACAAAGACAGAACGAGCAATGATGCCTGCACGATGTTCACTGAAAGCAGCTCAAAATCTTTGCTCCTCCCAACAGAAAATTACCATGGCCTGTTTTTCCTTTTTTTTTTTTGGTTTTGGGTTTTTTTTGTTTTGTTTACTTCTGTAACCAATTTGGCTGAAAAGACAATTCAAATTTGCTAAAAGTGATGTGAGTGCATGCCCTAGAATACTGGCAAGTGCTAAACCCTGCCAGCCTTGTGAGAAAACTAATGCCTCACTTTGTTCCACTTCGACCTATTTCTATAAACTTTACAGAGCTTAAAGAGCTGTTATCAGTTTTCCAAGAGAGACTACTGATTTACCTCAATGACATAAACTCTGGGTTATACATTGTGAGTTAACAAAAGTTAATATTCCTTACATGTTTTATTCTAGTTACATATATTAATTAAGAATTTTAAATGGCACTCGATTGAGAATCAGAAGACCAAAGTTCTCATTTTGGGTGAGCCACCAGCAAGCTCTACAGTTGGAGCTGCCTGATGTTTGGGACCAATGCCCCCAACAGTCTGGGCTGCAGTAGAAGCCTGCAGGGAGGGAACACGGCGACCCAAGCAGAAGGCGGCCGCACAGGGAAACCCCTGGCCCAACTCTGACTTATGAGCCCTGCAACCCAATACGACTTTAAAACTCCACATACCTGGAATTAGAATCAACAGTAGTAATAAGAGTTTCCTGAAACATAAGAGGAAAAGTTAGAGGGAATGTCCAAACATTTATTCCATTGAGGAAAAACCTATTTTAAAATAAGATCACGATATTTTAGTCAATGCATTCTTCAACAAATGTTGAAAGGGAAAATTACATCATAAACATCTTTTCACTAAGATGCTTAAGTCTGCTATTTTTTCCAGAATAAAAAATGTAAGTATTATCTATATTTAAATTACTAAGGACGTAACCTTGATCATTTGAAAATTTTTAAAATACGCTACATAAAATATCCCACACACAATAGGTATCTAAATACTTTAACATAGAAACTGAAAACAGATATTCATGTACACATACACACAACCCCCTGCCATCTTTAGGAAGAGCAGTTTAATTCTTAAAAAGCACAAATAAATGCTCAATAAAAACATCAGTTATTTCATTCAAATATGATGGCTGTAAAAGTGCACCTAAATTACATTAAATACATGTCAACCAAAAAGAAAAAATAACTGTCTGACGCTGGGCCACCTTTCCCCAAGCCACTTCTACCTCTGTCCTGACAGGGACTGGCCTCACATTGGCCACCCACCACCAGCCACTGTCGCCCCAACAACAAATTTCCAAATAAGGAAACCCTGTTTTCATCTTCCAGCACTTTTGAGAGCAGCTCTAAAGTACCACTAAAGTGAGCTGACAACTGCTCTGGAAAAGTATATACTTCCCTGAGGGCTGAAACATTAAGGCTTAGCCCTATCGAAATACAAACTTTTCTGGGCTTAACATGTGTTAAGAAGCATTATTTCGATAGTTCACACCAGCAAAAGTATTAGTGCCTCACACAAAAGCAGCTGTAAATAAGGCAGCTTCATCAGAGAGCTCTATGTCCAGCAGGTTCTCAAAGCACAAATAAAAAAGCATTAGCAAAACAATCAGCTGTCTGCAGTGAAGCCAAGCTACACTCTGCAAAGCACATTAAAGAAACTCCCATGAAAAGGCAGAAACCTCTTAGGGGAGAGCAGGAAAAGCACTTATGAGACCCACCAACCTTGAAATATCTCCTTTAAGATTCCTGACACAGTAGGGGAAAAAAATAAATCATTTACAAAGAAAACATCACAATATCTATTTAAGCAATTCTAAATCTTAGCGACCGAAATAAGAGTAACTACAGCAAGATTATTTTTCAAATTTTGTAGACGTGAGTAAAGTTAACAAAAACTGCTAGAAATAATCAAAATACGCAAAAATGTTATTTAGCTACTAGAAGACAATCAGTTCTGAAACAAAAGAATTCACTGAAGGTAAAATATTATTGTCACACTAGAAAGTTAAGCTTGAAACAGTACATGGAAGGCAAACACGAACACTCATGACACTGTTAAACTGAGCACGAGTGGGCATTTCACCAGACACGCTGACAACCCTGGAAACCCGGCCGGCCCATCCTCCGCCTTTGTAGCAGCCACAAGCGAGTGCTACTGTTCAAAAGGCTGCTGGCACATCACTACCAGCAACAATGAACCTCCGAAGAGATGAACTTAAGAAAATCACGTAACTTTTTTGATTGTTTATTATCTTCTTGGCTCTATAACCAGGACACCTGACAGTTAAAACAAGTGTGAATGACCACTTAGCACTGTGATGAAAAAGTACATTGTCTTTAGTGGCCAGTGCTCTGAAGGGCCTCACTTGGGTTTAGGGATGTAAGTATCAAATATGTCAGCAATGAATAGAGAGAAAAGACTATTGTTTTTATGACAGGCTCTGCCACTTCTTCACTCCCTGACCTTGAGGGTTCAACTTCAGTAAAAAGAGGTTAACAATTAAATCAATAAGTCACGAGTAACGACTTATAAAAGTCACGTAAAGTCAGTATAAGTTGTGATAAGCTCCATATAAAAGCATGCAAAGCCCAAGAAGCTTTTGCAAATCAAAGTCATCTCATTTGTAAGTTCATTTAAGTTAGCCCATCCTTTAGTTGCAAGACTTCTTCCTTTAAAATACTGACATTCGATGCCTATCACATGTTGAGAGCCTATAGAAGCAGCTAAAGAGGTTAAAACCAAAAAGCCTGAGATGGTGCTAGACTCAATACTGGAGTGTGTGACTTTGAACAAGGAGCTTAACACTCCCAACCTTAGTTGTTGTCACTCCTTGGCAGGTCTGTGGATCTCACAAAGATATAGTAAGAACCAAATAATTTATGTAACACATGCTTTGAAAACCATACCCAAGAAAGGGTATTGCTACTACTAATGTAAGCAAATTTGATAGATACAGGAATGCTTAATTAATGTTTAATTAAAACGGCCTAATTTCTATGTCTACAAATATATTAATTTGGCAACTTAACACTATGCTTTCCTCCAGGCAGTTTCAAGCTAATAATACAATTCAACTAGATACTTTAAGCAGGCAACACTTCAAAAATTCAGACCACAGTGTACATTGTTCAGCCTGGAGACAGATGGACGGATACACAATACACGACAAAAGAAATACCTAACGACACTCTTTTCTTCTGGTAAACTAAAAGTACAAGAAAGATAAATCCAGAAAAGTGGTCATGTATTTTCTTGCATTTCACGTTGCTTACAGCCTCTCAAAAAACCCAACAAGTTCCTCTCCCACATTCCTGAAGTTCTGCTCTAATTTAAGCAAAAAATCACATAATATAGGTTTCTTTTTTTTGTAAATAAAATACTCAAGTTGTCTTGAGTAAATGTCTGAAGAGAGTAAAAAATATCTACTTTAAATAGTGTGATTCTTAAAACTCCAATTCTACAGCCAGCAAGCTGATCAAATATATATCAACTGCTAATGATGACATGATGAAAGCCAGTCTTAACACACAGAGAGCTCTCACTAGCATAATGTTGTCAGGAAAGTTTTCTTTGATGTTGAAAGCTAAATTCCCAGAATTTAGCATGTAAACTTGCTCTGTCCCCTAAATATTGAGTATCAAAGTGACCAGTGCTTTAAAATAGGAAAATAAGAACAGCAATGGGTCAATGAGTTCGACGTAACAGTATAGGTTATGATGCACGTGTTCTGAAAGCAAAGAAGAAGCCTGTCCTTCAAACACAAAGCAGTTATGGTGAGAGACACGTTTACCGCCTCAGACCTACTGGTGTTTCCTGCTTGCAGGCATCATGATTAGAGACGTGGCTGGCCGTGCAGTGATCCAAGTTCATGTAAGAGCCTTATCGAATCTTTGTTTTACTGTAGCTGAATGACTTACACCAAGATTATTAACATACTGAACGCCTGACAGGAAAAAATACACCTTTCCCCTGACAGACTTTAGAGAAAAAAGAAAAACTGCATGTATCACAGAATTTCAGCTGTTCAAAAAGTAGCCTCAAAAAAAGTGCTAACGTCAAATAAACTGACAGCAAGGATTCCAGCAATTGTTCAAGAGGCCATTCAAATTCTGAAGTTCATTTTCTATCTTCCGGAAGTACTCATATCTCCAACATTGAACTTCAGTCTTTTTTTGAACAGGGAAAGGAGAGAACATAAATGAAATTGCTTTGTACTAAATAGCATTACACAAGACTTTTATTATACTATCTGGGATGTTGAGATAAACACAGTCTTTATGTTCATATTATTGGATTAACTGCTTTGATTCTGGTGTAGATTAAAGACACCCTGGCAGTAACAGCCAGCAAAGTTCACCAAGGCTTGATACAAGTTCACTGCAGTCTTGCTGTTGTGCTCCCTCCAATAAAACCAAGAATATACACCAAAATGAAAAAAATTATACTTTCTGCTACGTGTTTTAAGAAAAACTTCCCCCCAGTCCTTTAATTACAGGCCAGGAGCTACTCTGCCTGCTTGTACTTTTGGGGAACTTCGGCTGTTCTCATCCATTCGTACTCTGGATTCATCTTCAAATGTAAGTGACATGGTCAGCTCAGAGAGAAGGGCTAGTGAACCAGAGTGTAAAACTGGTATTACCAGAACGATTTTCCTTTCCTCTGGAAAAATAAGTCAAAACGGTATATTTAATATTAAATTCATCCAGCAAATATTTATTGAACACCTACTATGACCCAGAGATGCAGAGATGAAGATGACATGGGTAGTGTCCTCCAAGATTTAAGTAATAGGACCTCTACTCAACCAGATTTTAAGTTCCGGGAAAGTAAGGCTCATGTCAAATCTTTCAGGTAGAAGCACAGTATTACCTATAAAAAATAGCTCTTCAAAAGATATTTATTGATAATTATGATAAAAAAAAGTATTGAGAGTCTTACAAAAATAACACACAAGCTATCCTAACAAAACATACTGACTAGTCTACACAAATAAAAATTTTTGCCAAGCCAGCAGGTTATACATTCATCTTACCTAGAAAGACTTGTGCTGGCCTCAGCCAGCTAAGTAAAAGACCTCTGCCTTCAGTCTGCCAGGTATTAAAGACAATGAAAATAACTCTATCCACCGAGACATCTGAGATGGTCACACTTACCGAAGGCTTGTTCAACTTTGCTCTGTCATCCTGCAATAAAAAAAATAAGGCATATTAAAGTACCATTTCCAAAGTGTTCACTTTGAATTTTTAAAATTACAATTTAGTAATTAGCATTCTGGGTTAAACACAAAGTTTGATCCATCTGGCTTAACAGCAAAAATTGATAGCAGATTAAGTGCTGAGAGGTATTTTCTATCTAGAGTTCCAAAGGTTAGAATAACATCCACGACAGTCCTCTTTGTAAGCTGATGTGTGTATATGTTTATTAGACTTGGACTAAAATCTTTAATTCAGAGAACAGCTGCAGATCTAGTTCTTCCCTCTGCGCTCTCAAATTCCCCTGGAGATGTGTACGTATTTTTTACTTGCATGATAGCCTCACTGAATCCCTGCACTCTCCCAATTGTAGGGTCATAAACTATTTAAACCTCAGAAGCCGTCAAAAATAAAGTGTGTCTTGATGCTTGCGCCCAGCAGGCAAGGCAGGTGGAGCAGAAATGCCGTAGTCAGGGCCTGAAACCCACCCCCACCCACCCCGATGGGAAGAATGTGGCTGGCACGGGACATTTTTAAGGGTAGAGCTCTCTGAATACCATACTACTACTTTACTTTTGTGAAATATGAAGGTGAAAATACATGGGCAAATAAGCTTTCCAGATAGATGAAAGCTTACTCCCTGAAAGTACATATCTCCTACCACCAAAAACAAAACAAACCTCCACACCCAACAGAAGTTATTCTAAAATGGGTTTCCTACTTTCGGGCCCTCTACAAAGAGCCTGATGTAACCCTTCCTCCATTCGCAGTCACCGCAAGAAGCATCAATGATACACAATGAAACTTATATGTTTTAAGTGTTTCTCAGTTTGCTCACTTCGGATGAGGCTATTTGCTTGTATTATTTTTCTCGTGAGAAAAGAGCCAGTTTCTATCGGTACCCCGACCCCTCCCGGTAGGCTGTGATGCACCAGGAGCTGGGTGGGCAGGGAGCAGCAGGTGCTCCGGTGGCTTGATGCACAGCCAGGAGGCACTTCCAGATGCTCAGAGGACTCAGAAACTTCTTTCCAAGTTTTCGGCTGTATTCCTGATAACTTAGGTTGACAGACTAGTAACATTTAACATGGCCATTTAAAACTGTCACAGAAGGGCCTAAAATTCACATCACAGCTCTGTGTTTATATGAAGGCTAAGTTATGTCAGTTTTTTCCAAAAATCAGTCAACAGATTGGTACCAAAGCTGCATCCTCAAAGGTCTGGGGTAAAGTGAGCAGAATGAGGACAATGTGCTGGTTTTAAATAAGGCAGAGCTTCTTCATTTAACATCGCTTAGTTTTTAAATTTTTTTTTTTTTTTTTTT